ACACAGTACTAAAAAGTACATTAACATTTGACAGCACTTAAAAAGTACATTCATATCTGCTTGTAACACCAGTTCATGGTTACCCATTTTGTGATTTACTTAGCAAAAAATAATGACAAATTAGTTTACAAATACATGCTTCATAGCTTTAAATGCGATTGCAGTCAAGATGAGTAGTTCAAGGCAACACCTAATTACCGCATAGTTTGTTGCTCTCGCTGGAACTACATGTGTATGTCATGATAGTCACTATAGCTCACCTGTTAGGTCTGAAATGGTGATTTTTCAACCCAACATTCATATTGTGTTTTGTTTGTCTCCCTAGCTGAATTGAAAATTATGTCATTTTTGTCATACTTTCATTCTTTATTATGGTTATATGCCATTAAAAATACCAAAATGGGGAAAAAAAAACTGGGGTCATCAGACAATTTTACAAGATACAAGGGTTTGAAATGTCTTATAGGAAATAGTCAATTTTTTTTTACGCTAGCTTCCATGTGAGATTGTTCAAATCTCAAACTTTGCTTGGTGACATGAAAAAATAATTATAATTTAAACATTTCCTAACATAGTTAAACAATTTTGAAAATTTACCTATAATTTTAATAGTTTCTTGGATTATAATAGTTTCTTATTATACACAATTGTAAGTTCTTTCCCATAATGCACTGCATGTATGTGCAGTAACATGCTCAGTAGTGCAAAATTTGATTTTGGCTTTAACTGCCACCGACGAAATTTGTGACTATTGAAATAAATGCAGGTACATAATATTTGTACATTATAATAACTGCATGTTCTTTTAATTCAGGAAGCAAGAGCTTGTCATTTTGTTTATTGTTGGATTTTAAAATTTATCCCTTTGATATGACAACCCAAATTGTTCAATCATCATAAAAAAAAAAAACGCAAGACTGTGCAGGTGCAGTCTGTAACAGTGTTGTAATTTCCACCAATTTTCTTGTCCAATCCCTTTTAATTTTTATCGATTGTAATTTAATGTTTAATAGTAAATCAATGCGTTAATTGCAGTTATTAGTGAGAATATTTCCTGATTTATAAGCGTGATATTTTATGGTAATGTAAACCTGACAGCACTTAACTATATATATGTGCTTCCCAGTTTGCTAGTCAGCTGCTGATTTATTTCTCTAGATAGGATTTTGAGTGTAATGTCAGAAGGCACTTTAACAGTAGTAAAGTTGTCAGTTGTAGTGGAGCTTCAACACGTGCAGTAATCCGTGTCTCTTGCGTACACTATCGTAGCCGAGCAGGGACCGATACTCTCGTGCGACAACTGATCCAGATATCGTTTGTAGATATCGATCATTTTGTGTATCGGCAAAGCTCCATGCTTCTATTGCTAGTATGTAAGTATGCTGTAATTTTAGAGTCGAGATAGGAACACTTGATAACTATCTTTGTCCATTATATTGCATCTGTGTTTGACCCGCATAAATCACTGCGATTTGCAATAATGACTTTTACTAACGATGTAAAAAAAAAGATTCTTATCAGATAACTACCGGTGGTATCAATCCCTGTCAGTTGCTTACATTTGGTGTTTGGATGTGTTGAATTGGGTGTTGTCTCTTTCCTCATCGCTATAGGTTTTAAATTCATAGTACATTGCTTTGTCTTTGTATTTGCAATTATGTTTTGATGTGTCATGTATATGGAGTCTTCACTTTCCCTCCCTGGTTACACATAGCAACATTCAAAGGTAACTATTCACTTATGGTGTGTTTTATATATTCCATTAGATATTTTTTTTTCAACTTCCAATATAATATCAGATAATCGTCTTCTGTCAGTGTTACAAAAGAATTGTTTATTTTTGGTAATCACCATCATTCTGTGGGAGTTGTATAGTATAATGTTTCATATCTCTGTAGAGCAGGTGTCATATACTGTGCTAATATCAAAATCACTGTGACCTATGTAATTCTACCATTTTCTGGGTCAACTGATTATTTTTTAACCTTTGAGCAGTATTGTCTCAGGATTTCAGTTTTTATTGACAATTCTGCTCAGAATTTCTACCTCACTAAGGGGATTAGTTTTTTTTTTTTTTCATTTATTTGTGAATGAAGCTTAAATATTGCTGATCATAGATGTGCATCAAGACAGTTTTTCACTGCTTCTCTGAAATGTAGTACAGCTTAACTGATAATTTAAGTATTTAAGCACAACAAATATTCAATGTTGAATCATTGTTTTATTCAAAATGTCTACTGTTGTTCGCAATGTTTAGTCGCCAATTGGAAGGAGTTGATACTGTTTCTCAAGGCCGCCTAAACGATAGATTATATCAAATGTGTTTGGAAGTCTTCTATTATTGCTGTACAAGAGATTTGAGATAGTGAAACTAAACGTTAAAAGCATCAGGACAAAGAGTATGACTTGTGGTATCATTAGCAGTACCTTAGGAACCCACTTGGGTTCACAACTTGAGGCAAGTGAAACTGATCTCTGATACACCTGACATTTATAGTTCAAAGGTCGATGCTATGGGATCTTTAATTACGGGGCAAAATTGCTTTTGATGGATAGATATTTTATATCTGAGAACGGGACTGACTACAAGATAACACTAATGAGCCTCAGTTTACTAGGGAGTGAACATCTGTTTACTTTGAGAAAATGGAAAGCAAAATAGCCATTAGGTGTGCTATAAAAGTCTGTCAGTGAGTGTGGGCTTAAATCATTTATGATTTGGAAATGTGTACACTCTGGTCAGGGAGTCCACAATTTGAATATTCAAATTTGCGTCAGTTATTTGTATATTTTAGCTTCTTATTGTCAGTTTTCACATATTAGATTAAGCATATCCAGTACTCATGTACATGCATGGAATGCAAGACTACTTCTTTTCTCGACATTGTTTTTTTTTACCAATTGAACTGTAATAGGGCATTATAATTGTATTCACAAAGTATTATGCATTTCAAGTTATTGGTGCACATAAGGTTTTACAGCTTGGAAAATCTCATTGTCTGTCTCAAAATCAAATTTGAGACCTAATCCTTTTTCAACAAGACCAGCATCATTTTGCAGGCAGCTTTTGAATGTGGTCTGTCTACAGGAACATGTAATTTCTGCAACCACCTGTTGCAGGTAAAACCTACTCATCTGGGACAAGGGGCTGTAATAATACAAATTAATGTTTTAGGCTTCACTTTTGAGAATTCCTAGTAAACATATTTCTGCAACTTAGATACAGTTTACCTATTTAGGAGCATCTATAACATGTCTGGGTTCCTCTACATGTCTAGTGTTGCTGTTATAGTTATAGTTGGTTAACACACTATAATGTATGCATGCAAACATGATGGGATCAGAAACAAGAAGGGGATTACCATCAGGAAATAAGTGCGTCAATTGTATGGATATGACGTACGAGTATACGCAGTGTTGGTTCTGACGTTTGTCAGTTTCATTGTTCAGCTATATCTTTTCATAATTACCGTAATTTTGACACTTTTAATTTAAATTGACATCCAAAATGCAGTGTTACAATAAAAATACATTTATTTTTGATTGCCAAATATTTCATAATACAGAGCTTGAACTTGCATCAAGAGGGTGTCAAATTCCAAAGTCGATTGCAATACAGAAAAGTGTCTTGAAATAGAGAATATTTGTAAGGTGTATGATTCTATTTCAGAATTTTAAGCCGTGGGTGTGAGAAAACAACTTTTATATTGCTGTACATTGTATGACATAGTTGACCTGGGAGTGTGTTGACCTTTCCAAAACAGAAAGCAAACCTTCAGATGTGAAAGAGTTGATTGTTTTATCATAACATAATGGTTCTTTGTGTTAGCTTAAATATTTCAGCAAGTTCATTCAGTTTTCTAAAGTGTTCGTTGAAGTGCCATGTTTTGTGCTTCTGTTTTGTGGTTGTACATCTGTGTGCATATATCCAATGCTATGTCTACTCGCAGTGATGATGCTAGTGTTCACCATCAAATTAATAACGTATATGTGACACGCTCTACCTGTGTACGTTGCTGATACTTTGAAATTACCGTTTGGCTGCTGTTTTTCATAATAGCCAGATCAAGTAAGTGGTATAGTACTGTCTCATGCATACTGTGTTTTCATCTTGTAAGGATTGGACGCAGGTCGTATTCAAGTGGTGGCCCCAGTACTCACATTTCTAGGGTTCTATATCGTCAATTCTATATTTCAACGTCTTTTTAATGGACAAGTCGATCTTTGTTACCACATGCCGCAGCTTGTCTGACTTCATAATGCATATGTCAAAACTCCTACTATGAAATCTGCATTTCAATTGTGGTGTACATTTGACATTATTTATACCTGGCGTATTGTCTGTGATTGTGCTTCTTGCATCAACAGAATCGTCTACAATGGGGCGGGATAGGACGCCATATTGGGTGCCTTCGTATCACAATTCAGATCACAAGTATGTCAAAAACACGTACATGTACGTGCTTGTTGACTACACCAGTAAAATTGATTGGATTTCAGTTTGAATTCTCACTCCACTCAAATCGTTAGAGGGTTGTGGTGTGTATAAACACTCGGTTAATACTTTCGTGATTCAGTATTTGCTTTTTTGTGTCAAATGTTCATTAATTCTTGACTTCTATTGGCTATGCAGTGCATGTAAAATTTTGCATTTTGTTTTCCCCTCGTAAATTATGTTGATATCGACTGGTGTATATAAGTCTTGTACCGGTGTACTTGTACGTGTTTACCGAAAGGTACAGTCACCTGGGTATGGCTGTATATCACACATTGGGATAAGCTGTGGCTTGACTCCAGTGAAACCTTCTGACCAGGATGTAAACTATTCTCTCAAATTGCTGTATTGTGGAAGTGATTTGCGCCATGTGGGTGAAGAAAGAGTTGGATGATTCATTATGAAGACTAATCAAGACTAACCACTTCATCAGGTGAGAGAAGCTACTATTTGCTACCTTCACTGTGGAGACGATAACTGTGTGTGAAGTTTTGAAGATTGATTTGATGCGATGTGAATTCAATTGACATCTTACCCGACAGCATTAGACTTGTTATGCATTCTCTAATACTGTCTGGTAATGATGTTAATAGATTTCACCATCTCATCAGCCTAAACCACTACTGACTACCACTACTAACCAGTTGTAACCAGTCGCAACTCATCCTAGCCATCAATCTGAGATGTACAGAGCTTGCATACAAAACAGAACCAGACCTGTTATACTTGATCTTTTGAGCGCCATGGTCAACTTTTGTCAATTTTCTCAAAATAAAACCCACATCAAATTTTAGTTCAAAACTTGTTATTAAGACGTGTTGCCAATGGAAGTATCTCCATTTGGTTCAAAATTAACGATGAAATTATAGAAAAATTAAATAAAAATGTGCAAAATGTTGCACCAAAAAATTGGCGGGAAAAATGATGGCGTTCAAAAGGTTAATATTCAAATACATTTGTTCACAAGAAAATGAAAAACTGCAGTGTCTTGGTCATGTTTGAATTTTACACAAAAATTGCTGTCTAGACGAGTAAACCATCTTTCTCTGCAGTTTTTTCATCACTTATCTGAGTAATGTTGAAAAAATAATATACATATGTAATAATAGTGGTAGATTTCTTTAAGTGTTGTTTCTATGAATTCTGGGTAAAGCCTTTCACTATCATTATCACTTGTGTGACCTTCTATAATTTCTGACAAATCTACTGTTTCTGTTAAAGATCAAATCTAATTGTGATATTAAATCTTAGATTTTTTTATTATTAACATTAAATTTTGAAAAAAATTACAGAAAAATTGCAAAATATTTGCAGTAATATTATAACAGTAAAACATATCTTTGTGAAAGGTCAAACCCTGGAGTGTGCTTGTCAGATGGCAGGGTTAAGATAAATTTGACTACCATTGTTTTATGACTGTCTTCATCCTGATTTCAAATAATGAATGTGAAGTGTCAAATTTCTTCTTCATTGTACGCAGTTAATACAGGTACTTCTTGTGTGGGAAGGATATTATAGACAAAAAATCTTGTTATGTTCATAGAATTGTAAAGCTTTGTATTGATTTCCTGTCTTTGTATTATCGATGAGATTGAATTGAGGATAGATACAGGATCAGTCAGTGAGCCAGGCAAGATTGAATAAGTCTCACTGTAGTGTATCAATGATTCTATTAAACTTGGTTACTGGAAAATACATTATCTTTATAGCTGTGAGTAACCCAGCTGCATGTTCAATGCTATCACACAATTCTGTTCTCTTTTGAAATATTATTAGTAGTCTGTATTCTGTAATTTCAACTCTTTTTAAAAAAAAATATTTTACCCTGTTCACTTCTGATGTATATAATATGTACATGTGATTGGACATTTATTTTATTTTTCTGTTTTATTCTTTTCATAACTCTTACATAGATGAACCACAGACACCATTTTTTTTATATGTGCCTCTATTGGAGATGTCCCTCTATTCCTGAGCAAGCACAATTAGTAAATTTGATAAAAGTTGAAACAAATAAATTAATATGACAGATATAATTGAAATTAATGTAAGCAATTCAATCTACAATATAAACAAATTTTCAAAAAGGATGTTTATTTTGTGTATTTAAATAAGTAAGATTTTTTTCATTTAATATTGGTAATTAATTATTAGAATGTATGTAACATTAGATGGTGATAATAGACACCAGTATGTACGGTTGTCTATCAGTGTGTCGTGGTAATGAAATGAGATGAGGTGTTGGATGTCTGCTGATTATGTAGCCCTACCAACTACAGTGAATCGAATTGATGACTATGTGATGAAAGATGATCCATGTGAGGTGTAGGTATGTGTTTGTGTGTTAACGGATAGCATATTATCTTGTTCCAGTTCAGTGCTGACCATGTGTTGTGATAGGGTATGGGGCGCTAATGAGAATATTCTACAATATACATATAGGACAACAATATTACATGGTAGTTTATTTGGCTGTGAAATGCTGATATAAATATGGCTGCCCAACACATGTCTTTCAATAGCGACTAAAAGCTTTCACAGTATTCTCCTCTGTGCTCTACATTTGTACATGTGCTTGCCACCACTGAACCAACTTCTATCGAAAGAAAACCACTATTATGGCAGCCTCACTCCATATATTCTATTTATTTTAAATAATATCTCTACAGTTTGCTTGCTTAATGGGTTCCTTTCTGACTAGTGCTCACCTGGGTGATTGTAATTTGTTAAATGTCTCGGGAAAAATGGGATGCAAATCACTTAGAGTCTATATAGTAAGCATGAGTCGTAGATACTGAAATATACATTGTCTCTAAGCATCCTTAGAAAAGTTCATTATCTTAATGAAATGATGTCGCTTTCTAAATTTAGCCTAAAAATACATGCTTGAGTACATTCAATGTCTAATTGCAATCGACGCGAGTACGGCATGCCTCTCTCGTAATGTCTGCAGATATGGCTTAAGTAATGAGACACCACGATACATAAGACAAATATCAAGCCCCGTAGATAAGGGCATGGGTATTTACGGTAATAAAAAGACATTATGCCTGACGACTTATTATATGACATGTCCAATTTAGGGTCTTAAGATTACGTGGATGGTAGACTGTCTGTAATCTACATGATAAAGGGAACATAGATGCAGCATATTAGTAAGAAGTAAACCTACATGTAGGTTACTAATTACGACTGATGCTGCCCTCATTATTATTCAATGCACACTCATCCTCCGATACCTGACGCTGCCAAGACAGACAAGAACCATCAGAGACTTTCGATAATAGGCTTCTACAATCAGTGACAGCTGCATACAGTGCGAGATTTGCCACTATTCAATCATATAGATGTATTCTAGCAATTCCGAATTGACTTGGTGTCTTGTTATCGCTTTGATAAGCGATATCCGGTGCTTGGTTGTTAAAAATGTTGTGGTGTTTGTACAGTTGCCTCGGTTGCAATATATTCTTGAAATTTGAGAATTCATTTTTTCATTTAGGTGAAGGGGATATGCTTTGGAAAGCAGTAAAATAGATTAAGAAAAATCTACTGCACTCTTTGGAAATCATTGTATTGTCGTTATAGTAAAGGAGTTTAATAATAGTTTTAGCTTTTAATAGGCTGGGTTTTCAGCTTTTCAGCATTAGTATAGGCACAAGTATTGTATTGTGAACAGCAATGTGTTATAGGGGATTTGTATTGGACGTAAACTTTGTGGGCACATGTTTGTTTGAAATATCCAACAACCATATTTGTTTCTTATGGAAAACTTGTGGCTTGGTAACATAGAATTCTGCTCACCAGAAAAAAAAAGTATAAACCATTGCATTATACTTCATAATATAATTTTTATTCAATGTTGCTGATCCTGTTTAAAGTTTATTCAATAATAAAGATTTTCCAAAACTTCAATATCAGATTCTCATGTTTTTTTGTGTGTATACCTTGTGGACGGGATGTTTGACAGTTGATCACACTCTCATCAACAATATCTGCACTTAAATTTGAATTGTCGGAAAAATTTTCCTTTTTCCAATTGGCAAATAAAATGAAATCTGAAAGTTACAGCAATCACAAGTTATACTGATCAAAATCTGATATATTGAGTCGTTTATTGACTATTGTTTCACTACACTAAATCCCAAAATGCATTGTTTCAAATTCTGCTTCTGACGCATACTAAACAAAAGTAAACCTAAATAGTTTGTGTGTTCAATGTTTGAAGGTCCCTCAGACCCAGTGGCATTTGCTGGTGTTCATCTATTTATATTTTAATTCGCATATTACTAAACATCTCAGAAGCTTCAAAATTGACGACAATACAACTTTAATTGGTGCTGTAGATGGTAATGTGTCAAAATACAATTTAACAAAATACAAGGTTATCACCTATTGGCTCCCAAATCCTGACTTGTGAGCCAATCAGGAAACATCGTTTTTGTCAAGACCTATGAATGTTTGGCTAGTGCATGTAGTTGACTGTACATGTGATGGTTCCCACCCAGTATCAATGTTTATTTACCCAGCAATCAATTTCAAAAGGTTGCTAGAATGCCAGGTGTACATAAACAGGTAAGATGAACAAATTAGACATATCGAACACTTGTGGTGACAGTAAACTAGGTACGACTGTGAGTTATTGACATCACAGTGTGTCTAAGCTGAAAACTAAACTGAGAACTATGATAGAACAGTACAGAACAGTATGTACAATGATAGAACAGTACAGAACAGTATGAACAATGATAGAACAGTACAGAACAGTATGAACAATGATAGAACAGTACAGAACAGTATGAACAATGATAGAACAGTACAGAACAGTATGAACAATGATAGAACAGTACAGAACAGTATGTACAATGATAGAACAGTACAGAACAGTATGAACAATGATAGAACAGTACAGAACAGTATGAACAATGATAGAACAGTACAGAACAGTATGAACAATGATAGAACAGTATGAACAATGATAGAACAGTACAGAACAATGATAGAACAGTACAGAACAGTATGAACAATGATAGAACAGTATGAACAATGATAGAACAGTACAGAACAGTATGAACAATGATAGAACAGTAGAATACACACATGTGAAATTATGACGATAGTGTTGTTTCGTGTTCATTTATGTTAGTGAAGAAACTGATGACAAACTACAATTAAAGAAAAAATATATTTCAGTTACAATTCTGGTTGCAATTTTGAAGAGATGTCACTGCAACCTATCCTGTTCAGATATATAACAATCTCCAAGAACAAAAATTTTGGATAATGTATCTTTATCATTGAGTATCATCCTTTCCTATTAGTGTACTATAGCTATGTCAGGTTTTAAATGCATGTTATAAGACTTTATAGAGCTATTTATTTGATTTACAACTGGCTCATTCTAAACATTACCATGAGCTTGAAACAAAGATGGATTAGATCATTTTCCCTTCACTGCGAGATCTCACGTTATGTGTGAAATCAAACGTAAAAACAGGACAAACAAAGGTAATAGCGTCATAGTGGGTTTCGACAATTTCCATGCTTAGTAATGTGCTGTACACATTCGATGATGGTAAATTTTAATGAAGTAAGGGTATTTCAAACAC